TGTCATGTCATAGGTAGCCAAATGGCCTCCCACCTCAGTTAGCTATTGTCACCACCCATGTGCAGTGTAGCGTCTCCATGCGGCTGCATATACGCCGATAACGGAGTAACTGACCTCCCTCATTCAGTTTCGCGCCACAGCCGATCATGGATTTTATCTAATCCGAATGCTGAACTTCGTCCGATGAGCTTATACTGATTTTTCCGTTTTAAGTGCTGCATCAGATTAAAGGGATCGCTCCACATTTGAATGGGGCTTTAAACTGAAAAGCCGTCCTCGAGATCATTTGGTGCGGTTCACATCTCCGCCCTTCTTGAGAACTAAACGCTTCTAGTTTCTGAGCTACACACTCTCAACGATGAGCAGACTTTTTCGGAGAGATTGTTGCAAGGTCACCTTAGCATCGGTGACACCATAATTACTTCATTCAAAGTCTGCTATTCCATTAGCCATGCGGCGGTCAAGGTCAATGGAAATATAATTGTTGAGTCGTTCATATCTGGCGTTCGTGAGCACGATTTCCGGATGAAACGGCCTTTCACTGGCTCTCGATCAATGTTGTACAAGGTACGGTGACGTAATCAAACAATAGCGCATTGATGAACATATTAACTAAGCAGAAAAATTGTCCTGTCTAGAGCAGAGCAATCCACTTGAAATTATGCCAATTGTTATAAGTGAGCCTATTACATCACATCTGTTGCTTGCTTCAGTATCTTCAAATGTGAATTATTCCTTCGAGTGCCTGTTTACAGGCAGCCTCGGCGTGACGTGGTGGTTAGCGGTGACCGCGGCGGCTCCGTGACCGTATTCCATCCAGCGCAGCCTCCGTTCTCATATGCCCCATGCATGGCCGAGGGAAGAGGACCGTAGCTGAGACACTTGGCTTTCCGCACTTCCTGTCCGTTTGACTGCTGCTACTTGTCTGTGCTATATGACCCCGTCATAACGTGACCTTTCGGCGGCCACGAGACAGAGCACGGTCAGCTGGGTGGTCTGTTCGCTAAAGTAACTACAGATCGCATGACTCCTGCCGCATGCACTGACACTTGTCTGGACTGCCTGACTAGCGGTCGCGCCCACCGGTCTAATCGGGCTTCGCTCTCCACCGGCAGCTGATGAGCATCCCAGAGGTGGTGACCACCTGGAAGTTGATGACGGTTTCCAGTGGGGGAGGTCTGGCCATCGCCATCATCTACATGCTGATTCTGCTAGTAGACGGTACGCTCGCGGCGCTGCTGCTGCTCGGCCTGCGTGACGGCGTGGTCCGCACCCGGCTCAACATCTGGATGGTGTGGACGGCTGTGTACACCGTGTTGCTGCTGCTGCTCTTCATCATTTTCGTGGCGACCGTGCCGAGCGTGACACTCGCAACCGGCGTGCTGGGTGGTTTCAACCTGCTCTTCTTCATCTGCTTCCGTGTCTACTGCCTGTACGCCGGCTGGAAGTACCGCGAGGTCATCATGTCGGCGCCGCCGCCGGCCACCGACATCCGACCCGATCCCACCTACCCGGCCTTCTGAACGCTTGGCAGGCGGCTGACTCCTCCTCAGCCGTGATTGCCCTGGCTGTGCGTTATCTGGTGTGGAGCCCTGCAGCTCGCGACGAGGCACGGGCCCGGCCGGTCGGAAGGTGCTCCCCCAGAGGCCGCGGAGCGCACTGGTCTGGCCGCGGCTTACTCAACACCAGGTGCCAAGCAAGATGGCGGACGGTACGCTAGTCTCTTGAGTCTATGGAGCGTGCGGCTTATAGGAGAAGGCACAACGTTTGAGTGGCACTGGATCCACCGAACACCAGCGTAAAACGCGAGATGGTGGCGGGGGGGGGGGGGGGGCAAAATATTACTGATGGTCAAACCATTTCCACGACTTGGTGTTTGCCCAAGGGGCTGTCTAACCGTATCTGACGTGATTGGCAGGTGCCCACGTTGTATGAAAATAAAATGAGCCATCTGAATACGCCTATTCCAGGGAGCTAGAATCGCTTTTGAACTAGGGTGAGGGTGAAAAATTCAATCGCAAAAAGACCATGCGGGAGTGAAAAATATCAATTAAAAAGATGGAACTTATGAGCTCGTGGCTGATGCTTCAGCCACAAAGACATCTATTTCCAGTTGGCATGAACGTAATATCAGGAACCTGACAAGACCAATTCGTTTTTTAACATCTTAAGCCATTAAAGTGAAGCAGAATACATTAACACGCGCTCGGGTGGGGGGGGGGGGTGGGGGGGGGGGGGGGCAAATTGATCCCCCGAGGGCTTTTTCGGAATGATTTCTGAACGGCGCTGCGTAGCGGCGCCGAATTTTGCACAGCCGTAGAAAATTGCATAGCGGATCGTTTGACACACAAATATCAGATGTACCATGTAAGGTCGCTGACCTATGACAGGTCAAAGTCAGCCCATGGTTTCCGCGAAGGCAATTCTAGGGAATCGTTCAAACTGATACAACAACGGAGTGTTTGACGAAGACGTACGTCTCTGAAATGCTTTCTTAGGCACCACAAGTATTGAATGAGCAAATTACGTTGACCTAAGGTCAGGTATGATGGTCGGACCAAGGTCAAACCAACCTGATATATAATAGGGCTCGCTGTATGGGATAGTTTCTGGTGCTCATTTCGAATTTATTGGTAGCAGAAACCGCATTATACATCTTCAATTGACTTCTTACAGCTCAGAACAGGCCATATACCTAAGATGACCCAGGTCAACATTTTGTTTTAGGAACATACTGCCTAGTGTAATCTTTGTTGCTCATTCAAATGCAAAACGCAAATCACTCTTGTATCATTTTGGTTGCCATGACCTACAAATGGTCAAACAAGGCCAATGACCTCAAATGAGCTTGTGAACTTTTCCTTACAGACAGTTGCCTAGGTTCTGGGGTGCTTTGAAGACCAACCTGAAATTTGACCTTGTTTGACCTTATTTGGCCTGAAGGTTAAATTGACCCCCCCACCCCACCCCACCTGAGCGAAGGGTATCTAGCTGGCCAACCGGGAGCGTGTTAAAGCATAGTAATTTCATGACAGCATTATAAGCATAGCAAATTATTAACACCAATAATTTGATGCTGCACTTTTCAATTCCGATCCACAGCACTTTTAAAACAAAACAAAGCAAAGGAATTCAATAACAAAATAAAAACAGAAAATTCAACAAGATCTAACAGCTGCCCTAGCCCTGATGCTCCGGTGGGATCGGCCAGCACGTGATAGATCTCACGAGACATGATTCTTTGCTGGCTATGGTGGGTCCAACCGCCGCCGCTGGTCCCAGTTAGACAGATAGCTATAGGCAGATGACACATATCCCATATACCCCCCGCCCCATATAGACAGATGACATGTGGATAGGATGAGAAGCCTGGGCTTGCTGTAAAAAGGTCACCGGCACATCACGCAGTTGGCGTGCCAATGGGCAACCACTGTGGCGGCGATTCCGCCTCGTGTCCGGATCTCGTGACAGCAGGTGATTCTACGGGTAACAGATATGACAGACTATGACGGAAAGATATGTCAGACGTACAATGTCTACTCCGGCTACTGCTCACGTTTCTGCTGACAGCCCACACGAATGCAGAAGTGACCTGGATCAACTTTAGAACGCACGCAATGCACACCGATGGATTCGTGGGCGCTGTCGTGCACCGTGCGCTGCGCCATGGGCTCCCAGGATCTCTGCAGGTTGCGAGTGACTAAAGGGTGTCTTCTCATGTCTGTGTGCCTTGGAGCACTAATATCATCAAGGCAAGATGCGTTGAAAATATCAGTGAAGGCAAGATGATATTTCGTATTCCAAGGACCACATTTGGGACCCAGTGTGAACGCAACAGAATGCTAGCCGGCACAGTGACTGAAGAAGACCATTTTTTTGGGGGGGGGGGGGGGATTGGGGAGTCAGCATTACTCGCAATCTCAGGACGGCAAACATGGCATCAACCGTCAATCATCAACCGTCAACAGCCAGCGGCATAGGTTCAATGTTTTTTCAGGCTCCGGTCGTCCTCACACCACGTGAAGTGTAGAGTGGCTGGGCGTGTGGAGTCTCATCTCTGACCTCCGCCAGCTCTCAGTCACGCAGCCACATGTTTATAATGCAGCACCCATGACAATTTTGCGTGAGGCCTGAAGAGCTCAACATATTTTTTTTAGGGCGCAGGGACTTTCACCTCATATGGGGATTTTTCATCATAAGGGGACCTATTTGCGCGGGAACGATATTGACGTTGGCGGAGGGGGAGCGATGCTGAGGGAGGATACCGATCGGCATCAGCTTCTCATCGGGCCCGAACACCTTATTTTGAGATTCTAGCTATAGAACACATTATGAGCCAACCACTCTAGTAGTTTGCTCGTAACTGCGCTTGGACGTTGCAACCATGTCACTCGGATGCTGAACACGAAAAAATGTATGGGACTCAACTGCAGATCGCATTCCGTCCTACCATAATGAAGGACCCCGGCAACCTAGGCCCCATATCTCCGCCACTGCGAGCGGCGTGAGCACGTATCCTAGAAATATTTGGTTATCTACACATTATTACCGCTCGCTTGATCCAAGAGCCCTTTTAGACTCGGAGACAATCTTCAGAGTAACTTCCCTTCGTCACGTCACACCATACGTTGAAGGTAGACATTTCCATTCCCAGAATGTCCTATTACTAAACTTCCCATTCGTTCCCCACGCTGCGGCTCCACTGGCAGTTACAAGCAATGTCTCCTCATACGCGAGGATATCGTAGGCATGTGGTTCTTTCTTCAGGCTTAGCCACTCTTTGAAGGCCACCGACAGCGTATCGTTGTCTAGTTTAAGCCAGACAGAGTAGCCGACGTTAGCGAGCCTTCAGCCTGCCCCTCACGTACTTCCCGTCGCCGGTGCAGCCCGCTGCCTTGCAGTTGTGTGACGCCTAGCGTCCCTATCAGCGGCCGGTCAGCCGCTATCAGACGGGCCGCATGACCGCGATACGGACCGTGAGCCAGTTGTGCAGCCCCGCCGCGCGCCGCCCGCACCGGTCGTCGCCTGAGGTGCTGTCGGGGGTCGTCTGTTGAAGCGGGGTGAACTCGGTGACCGGGGCGTAAGAGGCGTTCGCGACCACGTGTCTCAGCTGGGGCGTCCGCTGCCGCTGCCACGTGAGCTCCAGATCCCGACGGCATGCTGCGACCGGAGCCGATGCCGACCGCCGTGGTGGGCAGTCCGGCTGAGGAGCTGGACACCTCCTGCCTCAACTGCTTCAGCCGCCGGGTGGGCATCATCGTCATCGGCTGGGTGATCGTGGTGAGTGGCTCGCGGTCAGTGGCGGGCTGCAGAATTGGAGACCGGCCGCGGAGGGGCACAGCACCCTGCGCCGTGCCGGCGAGCATGTGGCGCGTGGCGTCTCCAAGCTCTCCAGGCCATGCCATCCCTTGTGTGCCTCGACGTACAGCTGACGTACAGCCGGTGTGTGCGTACCATTGGGGCTTTACGATGCTCTCAGCTGCTGAGGCTGTGGTGGCGCCTGCCACTCACCTTTGGCAGGAAGGGAGGAATGCGCAGGGAATCGAACCTTTTACACCCGACATACAGCCGGCGCATGAGCTCCGGTGGCGCCATTCGCGACATGCTGGCGACGCCCGACTTAGCTACACTTGTTTCGCCCTCGCGTGTATGTACACACAGGCCCTCCGGTAAGTGAAGGTTAAGAGATAAGTCTGCTTATCTGATGCAGCTCGGCGTTGTCATGCGGTCTGGACACATGAAGTGTCATGTCAACATGAAGTGAAGTGTCATGTCATGTCATAGGTAGCCAAATGGCCTCCCACCTCAGTTAGCTATTGTCACCACCCAACTGCAGTGTAGCGTCTCCATGCGGCTGCATATACGCCGATAGCGGAGTAATTGACCTCCCTCATTCAGTTTCGCGCCACAGCCGATCATGGATTTTATCTAATCCGAATGCTGAACTTCGTCCGACGAGCCTACATAAACCTTTCCGTTTTAAGTGTTGCATTAGATTAAAGGGATCACTCCACATTTGAATGGGTCTTTAAACTGAAAAAGCCATCTTCGAGATCATTTGGTGCGATTCACAGCTCTGCCTTTCTTAAGAACTAAACGCTTCTAGTTTCTGAGCTACACACTCTCAACGATGAGCAGACTTTTTCGGAGAAATTGTTGCAAGGTCACCTTAGCATCGGTGACACCATAATTACTTCATTCAAAGTCTGCTATTCCATTAGCCATGCGGCGGTCAAGGTCAATGGAAATATAATTGTTGAGTCGTTCATATCTGGCGTTCGTGAGCACGATTTCCGGATGAAACGGCCTTTCACTGGCTCTCGATCAATGTTGTACAAGGTACGGTGACGTAATCAAACAATAGCGCATTGATGAACATATTAACTAAGCAGAAAAATTGTTCTGTCTAGAGCAGAGCAATCCACTTGAAATTATGCCAATTGTTATAAGTGAGCCTATTACATCACATCTGTTGCTTGCTTCAGTATCTCCAAATGTGAATCATTCCTTCGAGTGCCTGTTTACAGGCAGCCTCGGCGTGACGTGGTGGTTAGCGGTGACCGCGGCGGCTCCGTGACCGTATTCCATCCAGCGCAGCCTCCGTTCTCATATGCCCCATGCATGGCCGAGGGAAGAGGACCGTAGCTGAGACACTTGGCTTTCCGCACTTCCTGTCCGTTTGACTGCTGCTATTTGTCTGTGCTATATGACCCCGTCATAACGTGACCTTTCGGCGGCCACGAGACAGAGCACGGTCAGCTGGGTGGTCTGTTCGCTAAAGTAACTACAGATCGCATGACTCCTGCCGCATGCTCTGACACTTGTCTGGACTGCCTGACTAGCGGTCGCGCCCACCGGTCTAATCGGGCTTCGCTCTCCACCGGCAGCTGATGAGCATCCCAGAGGTGGTGACCACCTGGAAGTTGATGACGGTTTCCAGTGGGGGAGGTCTGGCCATCGCCATCATCTACATGCTGATTCTGCTAGTAGACGGTACGCTCGCGGCGCTGCTGCTGCTCGGCCTGCGTGACGGCGTGGTCCGCACCCGGCTCAACATCTGGATGGTGTGGACGGCTGTGTACACCGTGTTGCTGCTGCTGCTCTTCATCATTTTCGTGGCGGTCGTGCCGAGCGTGACACTCGCAACCGGCGTGCTGGGTGGTTTCAACCTGCTCTTCTTCATCTGCTTCCGTGTCTACGGCCTGTACGCCGGCTGGAAGTACCGCGAGGTCATCATGTCGGCGCCGCCGCCGGCCACCGACATCCGACCCGATCCCACCTACCCGGCCTTCTGAACGCTTGGCAGGCGGCTGACCCTGCCGCAGCCGTGATTGCCCTGGCTGTACGTTATCTGGTGTGGAGCCCTGCAGCTCGCGACGAGGCACGGGCCCGGCCGGTCGGAAGGTGTTCCCCCAGACCAGGCCGCGGAGCGCACTGGTCTGTCCTCGGCTTACTCAACACCAGGTGCCAAGCGAGATGGCGGACGGTGCGCTAGTCTCTTGAGTCTATGGAGCATGCAGCTTATAGGAGAAGGCACAGCGTTTGAGTGGCACTGGATCCACCGAACACCAGCGTGTAACGCGAGATGGTGGCCGGGGGGGGGGGGGGATGGGGTTCAACTACTGATGGTTAAACCATTTCCACGACTTGGTGTTCGCCCAGGGGGACGTCTAACCGTATCTGACGCGATTGGCAGGTTCCCACATTTTATGGAAATGAAATAAGTCATCTGAATATGCTTATTCTGCTGTTTTTTTTATTCTGCTTATTTGCTGATTGTTTCGCACGTCTGCTTTAACACCGCGCCTCGGGTATTGAATGAAGATGTGGAGTAAGTCCCTTCTTCACAGTTACAACCAACGATGACACCGCTGCCGTAATGGTTGAAACTGCCGAGCGGGAGGCCAACGAAGTAGGACGTTCCATACAGACTCAATTGTTTCTTAAAAAAGCAAAATGTAAGTGTTTCCAATCAATTTGTGCGCTTTCCACGTTTCCCCATTCAAAATGGTTTTTGCACCACGCACCTTTGCAGATGTGTGCACACCTTGTAGCCCTGCGCACACCCGGCCCCTCTATCCTGCTTAAGGCATGCATAAAAATGTGTGCGACTGTATATTGGCAGTTAAATATTCCATGTACAGATGTAAAACATGAGTATGGTGAAATTATGTGGGAGTTGCGCGCGCCCCCGGTACGCTAAACTCATTTTTGACAGTTTTTGACACTGCGTCTATCAATTACGGAGTCTTAGGTACGCTACGAAAAACCTACACCTTTTGTGTACAATGATTCGGTGCCAAAAACGACACCCTTTTCAGGCAGAACGACATCATTTAATCGAAGACAATGCAACCGTTACCCGGCAATGACAGATTATTCAATGCTCGATGGAAGAGTATTCACGTAACTGACAAGAATAATCAAACACCTTGCGGTAATATTATGTCATGCAATGATACATTACCCGCTGTGCGATATGTTGAATTTACACCATGTTTTAAAATTACACCCACTGGTAGTCTTTCGATTCCAATTAGTTTGGCTTCAAGGAATATGCTGATTTTGCCGTGCAGTTTGCATGCAGTTCGCCGATCAATGTGTCATCAACGTATTAACCAGCCGTAGTTCCATCTAACCGTATTTGTAGCATTTTTCATGCGTAAAAGCTGATGTTAGTGTATTTTTACTTCGTGGGTTCATTTGTGGCGCGCATTTATATTGATGGGAGATTGTGGCTTGGCGGAAAAGCAAGATCTTAGAGTTTAAAGACCCGATGATTGTTTTCTAATGTAACTCAGATTCGGAATTCTGGGAAAACATGTTGAGAATCTTGAGATATTTTGTCATATATGCTTTGACTGCTTGATTAAGCACTCAATAAAATATTCGGCGTCTGCGAGTCTAAAAATCGCGCACGCCTGAACTCCGACTACAGCGTAATAATTAAAACTCCATACTCCAAATTGTAGAAAAAGATAGGCTTTAGAGGCCTTAATGGCTATCGGACTTCCACGAAGTCACAATACAACGTTCAGAGCACCAGGACAATATCAAATGTAGCGCGCGCTCCAGTGTAGGTTAATTTGACCCCGCCGAGGTTTTTCCGTAGTGGTCTCCGAACGGCGCGGCGTAGCCTCGCCAAATTTTGCCTGGCTGTAGGCAATTCAATAGAGTATTGTGTGGTGTCAAAACTTGGATGTGCCTTGTAAGGCCGCTGACTTCCGGCAGTTTAAAGCTAGGCCATACATTCAGCAAAGTTAATTTCAAAGGAATCGTTCAATCTCATGTAACAACGGAGTGTTAGACGAAGCCATGCATCTATGAAATAGGTTATTATGCAACGCAACACTTGAAGGAACCAGCTCCACTGACCTAGGCCACGCATGAAGATCAGAACAAAGAAAAAAATAACTTGTTTTATTACCCTAGGGCTTGCTGTTCGGGCTACTTTTTGGTGATAGTTTCAAATTTATTGATAACATAAACCGCATTAGACGTCTTCCATTATTTCTTATATGACAGAAAAGGTCACTGACCTGAAAAGACCCAGATCAACATTTCGTTTTTTAAGAACATACTGCCTAGCTTAATCTTTGTCGCGTATTCAGATGAAAAACTCAAAGCAGTCTTCTATGATTTTGGTCATAATGAACTTCTAAAGATCAAACAAGGTCACTGACCTTGAATGAGCACGTGACCTTTTGCTTAGAAGAGCTATTAAAGTTATAGGGACACTTTTTGAGGCAAACTTGGAGTGTGACCTTAGGCGACCTTATTTGACCCGAAGGAGATAACCTAGGAGACTAAAGATTTGACCAAAGTGAGATTACGTACATATCAACACCCTGTCAATTTGGTGTTTCTAGTCCCCCCAGTTCCTGAGATCTTAGGGGAGTCAAATTGACCCCCGAGCGAAGAGTATCCAATCGGCCACTCGGGCCCGTGCTAGATCACAAAAATTGGGCTTTGAATTTTGAAATAACTTATTTTTCAGTACCTCAGATGTGGGTTACGTTGAAAAACATTAAATAAGTTTGAAATTCCAAAAACGTGTCGTTGACTGGCACTTCTGACGGTATAATTCGTATTGAGCAGAACTACTACGAAAATGAAATGCGTATTGAACGCCCAAAAGATAGACATAGTCATTTAAATGCCGAGTTGAAGGCGATCCGCTGAAGTGAATGCGCTTATGTACAAATGGCTTGGCATAGTCCCTTCCTGCCACTTGTTTGTTTCTGGTTTTCAACGCACAATTTTCGAAATATTGGCGATTGAAAATCTCAAATCAATGTTGCAGTTGTGTTCAATGCAGATTGCCCACTCTGAAGTATCCAACAAATGTAAATGTGAGGTGATGTGTATTTAATCGGATAACCATAAGGTGACGATAAATAAATGTAAGGGCTTGTTTACATTGCACAACGCAAGCATTAAAAACGCTTGGCGCCAAGATGTCTTTGGATGCATCTTTAAATCAATTATTGAACAGTCTCACTCACGGTATAATCGCAGCAAACATTGATGTAAATTCTATACGTTACAGCTGTAACTTTGAAGACTGCTATGTAAATGGATACTAGGAGAGCAAATTAAACCTGAATTTCACATGGAAAACTGATAATTACTAAAAGCATGCACCGTATTTTCACTAAGGCCTCATAAACAACAGGAATACTGTGTCGCCGTTGCCCTGTAACCCGCTCACACAAAGATACAAAGGTGTAATATGTAATGGCATATCTGTATAAGATGACATCAGAAGTAAAGTTACCCTAGCGTCTACATGCTGTACAGGACATGTACTGAGCTGTGCACGTCTATGCCTACATGCTGCGCCTGCATGACCTGCTGGGTTGCATAGAGGTTCCGGCAATATTCATTATTGTTAATTGTGCAGCTGAAAATATGCCGGTAAATAACCCGCGGGGTATTTTCACGGACTGCTGAAATCTCGGCAGAATACAGCGTGAGCCGCAGCAGCGACCTGTAGCTTGCCTTCGCCGTTAAGCTCCTTGGAACTTGCGACAATTTTTGATCTCCTACAAAAAGTGCATCATCTCCGTGCTCTTATTCTATGTGTACGCTGACACCTTTTTCGCAGAGCGACTCCTCGCCACACGTGAAGAAAATGCTTCGCTCTTAATCACACTCTGAGCAACTCGTCTTCACAACCTTATCTGATTTGATCTGATCGTAGTCACCACTGCGCCCTAAACGCGTGCAGTCAGCGATCGAGCGCGGCTGTAGTGTGATGACCAGGACACAGAAGGTTTGGATCGTGTGCGTGTTGTCGCCTCCGCCACGCACGATTAAAGGTATGCTACATCCAACGCCGTGGCTTTCCAAATCGCCGCTGCGGCAATCCTGCCAGCACCGAGTGAGACATTATCAGGGGCTGATCGGATTAAATAGATTCCATGATCGGACAAGTGTATCATGATCACACAACAGAGCCTGATGGCAACGCTGTCGAATGCACACGTTCGCACTCTGCGATCGATTATGAGCATTTTTCCGACGCCGTTGTATGCTTGCCATTACACTACGGGCCTGACAGCGGCAGTTAGCAATGTATCGACCGAGTCGATTTCAACAAAAAGGTCATGTCGACCGATGAGTGATTCACGTCGTCGGCCGATAGTGCACTCATACACTATCGTGTGCCCATAGTTGCTGCCTCTGTGTAGGAGTAAAACAGGTGGTATTGGACATATGGATAACGCATGAATGGGGAGAGCAAAAAAGAGCAATCTACAGTGAATATCAGGTACAATGTGACTGGTTTGAGGTAAAATGGCTTCATACGATCGAGCAATGCGTGCTACGGACGCCACACTTCAAGAACATTGCATAAAGATGACGATTATTGCGGTCATTCAAGCGCTCTGTCGACCAAAACACGTGCCCTGCTGAGAAGCGCCCGAAACACAGGTGGCTAAACCAAAAAGCTTCAATGGCACGTACTCAGGGAAAAACTTGCCGGCGGATATCAATGTTCACCGCAAAAATGACAGAACGGTTTCTAAACGTGTGTTACTAAATGGCGGTGCCCAAAAAGCATGTCGAGCTCCTCCGAAGCTAAGAATAAGATCGTCAGAATTTTAATAACACATTTGTGTGGTTAGTCTCCGGAGAAAATTACGCCTCACTCGGAATCCTTATGTGCTGAGATCCACGTGAACTTTTGCTGCCAGTAAAATTCAAATATACGCTTTTCTAGCCTCCTTTGAGGGAAATGGCTTAAAACTAACGTACTTCTAACTACTCTTGGGGAGGGGGATTGGGGAGTCAGCATTACTCGCAATCTCAGGACGGCCAACATGGTATCAACCGCCGACCGTCAACCGTCAACCGCCACCGACATAGTTTCAATGCTGTTCAGGCTGCTGTAGCGCTCACACCACGTGAAGGGTAGAGTGGCGGGGCGTGTGGAGTCTCGTGAGGCCGACCCATTGCAGGGCGCGCACCTCGGCGAGCGTGATTTGTGGGAGCCCAACTCGACGTGTACCAGCGACGCGCATCAAGGTCGAAGTCGCCAGCCAGCGCAAGGCAGCGAGTCGAAATACGTTGCTCGGTCATGT